TTAAATTGGGTTTATTAGAGCTATGCACAATCTCAAACATACAGGGCAGTGTTCCTACAATGGAGACACTCCTGTAAAATGTAAACCTGTTGAATGTCATTAATCAATAAAAAACCAGTGCTCATTTAGATCTGTGTTGTGCTGTTGTCAGCGAGCCATTGGTAAAGACTTGTTTTGCACAGTTGTGATGCAGATTTTTTAAATATTCTGTTTAACCCCCCATACACACAGAGAGATTTATAGAGTACTGTAATATGAAACAAAATACATAGGAAGCTCACTGATGACGACAAGACGTTATCTGGGGGAGTTGTCCTGTTTTTTAATGGAAGTGCTATTTTATTGTGTTGAACGCATTCAAATATTTCCTTATCACTTTACAGACATTCACAAAACCTAAAGAGTATTCTTATCAAGTTTCAGTTCCTTGTTATTTGGACAGTTATACCATAGTTTCAGTTGTATTATGCTTTGATGACTCTTTGAACATAAATGTTTCCAAGTAAATATAATAAAAAATACTTTTACAAATTATCAGTACAAAAAAAAATTGTTTTGGATTATAGTTATATGTTAAGAAAGAAAAAGCAACTACTGTATTATTGTGATTATTTTGTTTTTTGTTAGTTTTATTTGAAATAGTTTTTATTTAAAGTTGAATTTATTTGAATATTTTTACATTTTGTTTGCTGCTTTCATTTTAAAACTTTAAAAGTCCCCAAATCTTTCAAACTGATTTGTTTTCAGCAATGAAAACATGGATGTTCAGGCCAATGTTCTCTGCAAAAATGGTTTTCTTGAACATTGAAATGAGAGTTTTAGTGATCTTGGTTTAATCTAGAAAATAATATTCTCCACAACCTCATGAAATTTTGTGAAATGTTCCTCTCAAAGAATATGCTGGATGACTCTCAGCTATAACCACATGAAACTATTTAAAAAATGAAGTTTTAATAATTTCAGTGTTTGCTGATGTAGATTATCTGTGGTGTCCATCTTAAATTTGATTTATTCCTAAAGTAAATCAGTTGTCAGGCTTAGAGGTCGTTGGTTTTGTTGTAGTGATACATCCATTGATCACATTATCAAATTTTCATTATGTCTGTCCAATGGTTTGTAAGGTATTTTGTAAAACAAAAGGCAAAATTACTGTTTGATGTTATTTATTCATCAGGAAATACAGTAATTAAAACGTTTTGAATATTTGCTCTATTATATTTACACCACAGATTGGGATTCCTTTTGATATTAAATGCTGTTTTTTTCCTCCCTTTTTTTTTGCAGGTGTACATTTGACTCTGGAAATGCACGTGTCTGGTCTCGTATTTTTGGCAGGAACAGTTTTCTATTTTTATTTGTAGTTACTCACCTCAAATCACGGAAGCATGGAAGCGTATCAGCGTGTGGCATGGAGGCTGCACAGCTGCAGAAAGAAAAGCTCTGCAGAGAGTGGTGAAGGCTGCACAGAAGACTGTTGGAGTCAGTCTCCCCACCATCACAGACATCTACACCTCCAGATGCAGGAAGAGGACCATCTGCATCATGAAGGACCCCACTCACCCAGCACACACACTTTTTGCCCTGCTCCCCTCAGGAAGGAGGTTGAGGAGCATTAAGTGTAGAACCACTAGACTGAAGAACAGCTTCTACCCTGAGGCTGTTAGACTCATGAATCTCTAATCAGGATAATCACTGTGGAAAATAAAAGAGAAGAAAATCACTGTAATCCACTTGATTGTTGATATGTGCTGCTGACTATCCATGCTGCTGATCTCATGCTGCTGATCTCATGCTGCTGATTTATTTCATGCTGCTTTGTTCATTCATACTCATCTACTCATACAGACCCATGTTCATGCTGCTGTGTTCGACGTGTTATTTTTGTATTATTAGTGCTTAAAGTTAGTGCTCACATTAGGCGTGTAAATTATAGCCGAACTGAACCTATGAGAATCGTGCTGCTGTAGTTGGGTGTATTGTTTTGCACTATTAGTGACTCGTGAATGTCTTAGACCTTTTAGCGTACCGTTGGGGGTTCGTTTAGCGTATATGCTTATTACCTTCAAATCTCACTGCTTTAATATTTTTTCTTTCCTCGATGTAGTTAGGGTTGTAATGGTTTATGTAGATACAGTTCGATTAGTGGTCCTATATGGGGTACACAAATCCAGGTTGTACCTCAGGAGACAGACATGTACTCCTGCTGTACCTTTATTTCTGACAGTATATATCCTAGATCCTTATTTACTGTTTCTTTTTACAATTTATATTTTTGCTAATGTTGGATGTAACTGGGACCCTGTGCACACAATTTCATTCTACCTCATGTACCACATGTGATGTGAATGACAATAAAGAACCTTGAACCTTGAAGAGTATTGCAGCAAGCGTTAGTGAAGCTAATTTTGAAGTTAGCAGAATATGGGTTTAGCAAAGCTAACTTTTTGGTAAGCTGTGCCCACCACTGCACCTGTCTATTTTTTTAAACACAGTTTACCTGCAGTGTCACTGAATGTTTGTGCTAACAGAATATTTTTGGCTTCTCTTTGTACTTTCATCTGACTTTGAAATGTTAAGTGCATCTTTGGGATGACTCACTGAAAAGTAAATGATGCCCACTTTAGTTTCTTTTTCATTTTCCAAAGCTCATCTTTGTTGATTCTTTGTGTCAGCACACTTAAACTTTATGGGCTAAAGAATACACGTTGCATTGTGTGTATTGGAGGATCAGTCTGCAGATTAATGAGCCTATAGACCTTTTACCCTCAGGAGTCCAGGTAGGAAGAAGGAAGTTGCTGTTTTTCCCATCACAACTTAAATGGCATTAAAAGACTGAAACATGAGTCCAGGAAGTTTAACTGTGTGAACTGTGTCCTTGTGATAAAAACTAATGTTGTGAATTTTCAACTGATTAAATTGTACTGATTAATCTTTTTGTGGACAAATTAACAGGTGTCATCTGGTGACACTGTTTAACTGTGTGGGACATTTTCATGCTTTTGTTTGTTGCCATAAAAATGTTTCTGCAAATCAGAACATAGTTTGTCTGAGGGATTATGTTTCATGTATTTATTTGTGAATATTGCAAAAAAATAAAAATAATAAATAAAATCAACCATAAATTTGGGGGTTCGTATCACTCTTGCAACATTCTAAATGTTTCTAAACTCTGAATGCACAGAGCACAAGAAAGAATACAGCATGTCATGATCTCCACTCTCTGCCACCTGCCTGTGCTCTAGGCCACGCCCATTTATCTGCTGCAGAGCAGAGATCATAACACGCTGCAGGAGAACGTGTCTCCCTGCACCTGTGGGCTGCACACAGGTGCAGCAGGTGCTACATAATTTAAAATAATTTATTTAAATAAAAATTCCATGCCGATCGTGCGGCTCATCCATCAGTCAGCGAATTGTGTGTCATGTTCAATCTTACTTTGAAAAACCGAGATAGAGCGAGTCAGCGAAAGTCCAACTGCGAAGTAGCGAGGGACAACTGTATACACAAGTGTAAATTTCCACAGCACAAAATGTGTACAGGAGAATGATGACATACTTGAAGCTGAGCTAAACTAAGCAAAGCTAAGCACCACCTGGTGACGTCACCACCCTAGCAGTTCTTTTCCCCCTGGCGTCCTCTAGTTGGTTGTCTGCAAAAGTGTCTTCTCAAACATTTATTTTTTATTCTAAACACTGATTAACAATACGTGTTGTTTAAATAAAAAAATAATAATAATCTGATACCAAAATAGGGCTGCACAGTGGCGCAACTGGTAGAGATGATGTCTATCAGTGAGCAGGTTACCCTGGTTCAAATCCCAGTCTGGGGGCCTTTCTCAGTGGAGTTTGCATGTTCTCTTCGTGCATGTGTGGGTTTACTCTGGGTACTCCGGTTTCCTCCCACAAACCAAAAACATGCATGTTAGACTGATTGTTAACTCTAAATTGTCCTTAGGTGTGAGTGAGAGAGTGAATGGTTGTTTGTCTCGTTTGTCTCTATGTGTCCCTGTGATGGACTTGTGACTTGTCCAGGGTGTACCCCGCCCCTCGCACAGTGATTGCTGGACATGGGCACCAGCGACCCCCGTGACCCAAAATGGAATAAGCGGGTAAAGATAATGGATGAATGGATGGATGGACATGAAAAACTGTACATAAATAATCTGATCAAATGAAAACAACATGTAAATGTTTTTTACAAATGAAACATCTCCATAAATGATTTTTACTCATTTTATTAAGACAATAACACAAGAAGACAAAGGTAGACATTTAGCCATTACAGTACTATAAACACAACCATAATGGTAAACTCAGGTAAAAATACATAATGCAATATTTTACAATATATATTGGATTTTCTATACAGTATAACAATATCTGAAGGTGCTCAGTAAAAAAATAAACAAACAAACAAACAAAAAAACTTGTTTGTTCAATTTCCAGTGTTTGACTACATTTTAAATGTATAATATAAATTTATTTACAAGTAAAACTAAAAATCTAAATGTTAATTTTGTACAGTGAGCATCAGGCATGATGGTCTGGCTTGATAAAGCAAACAGCATATGAAAAGAAATACCTAAAGATTGAGTTTAGCAGCTTCCTTGAATCAAACATCTCATATACTAATGCTATTTATGGTTCTATTTACAGTATATTTTGTTATGTTGTGTATCTGTAAATTTTTACTGCAGTTGTGAGAGAAGAGTGCTGCAGTCGTCCAGTGTGTCCAGATCATCCACTGCTTCAATCAGACGCTCAACCTTCTCTGGTGGAAGCACCACACCTGCATTGTTTCTGAACTTCTTCCTCAGGCTCTCAATGGTCAGTGGGTTTCGCCAGTGACCATAGAAGGTGTCACAGCGCCCCTTTAGAATGTCTCCTCCAGCTAGATTGACCTGGACTTCAGCGTACATACGGTTGAAGTTAGCAGGGTTGTCCTGAGGATGCTCCAGGCGGACGCGGCTCAGCAGGGCGTGCAGCTCGGGGCGCCTCATGGCAGCTGGGCTGAAGGACTGAACGGTCACCTCACCGTCCAGGAGAGCGCTACAGGCATTAAACTGGAAGGAGTGGCGTGCCTCGTGCTCCGACTCTGGAAAAGGCCTGTTGATGTATTTAGACAGAGGGACTCTGAGCAGGATGTCCTGGACCTGATCAGGGGAGACCTTTCCTGGGTCAACTCCAACAAGAAGCTTGTGGACCGAAGCTGCAGCATCTGCCACCCAGTGCATCCCCAGATGGGCAGGGAAGCGCTTAAAACCCATGTCCTGCTCCTCTAGGAGGAACACATGACCATCATCACTGGTCAGTTGTAAAGCTTGTGGGACATAATCTTCATAAAATGCATTAAAGCCCGCCACTCCTGCTACAGCATCCAAGACCAGAGGACTGGCCTCTAGGCCTCGGGAGGCCAGCAGAGCAGCTTCCAGCCCCAAACGGGAAGCGTTGCCAATATGAAGGGGTTTGGACTGAGTGGCAGCGTTCGCCATCGGAGCTCCAGCTAGAGAAGCAGCTATAGCCAGGGCATGACTGCACTGAGACGGATCCAAGGACAAGAGGCGAGCACAAGCTGCTGCACTTCCCATAGGACCCACCACGGTGGGGGGGTGGAACCTAACCAAACAAACACAGAGACACTTTAGTTAGAATTTATTTACTCTGGTGACAAAAAAAAGTGGACTGCGTCATCATGATTATAACAACATCTGCCTGAAAAGCTCTTTGTCCAAATGACTTTTCTTTGCTGTGGCTCTCAAGGATGCCATTTTTTGTTTTAATTTAAGTTTGTTTATTTTATATATTTTTTGATAAGTGGACAAACTCAAATGAGGGTTATTTAAGTTTTCAAAATGCTCACCATTGGAGTGTGTTGTGGAATTTTCCAAACTGTGCTAAAGCTACCACGGAGCCTCTGCTGTTCCTAAGATTTCACGATTACATTCTATCCACAGCTCACTGACAGCATTAAGGCATTACAGACTTCACCGCAGTGCTGAGATCAGCACAGTCAAAGAACCAAATTTGACTCTTGCCCCAGCACTGACCTCTTGGGGATGTTGTGCGCCTCATTAGAGAACCTCATTAGACGACCCTGGATCTCGATGCCGACATTGAAGGCCAGTAAGAAGTCCAGGCCACTTGGTTTACTGTTAGCTGGCATCATGTCACTGAGAGCTAACACGGCAGGAAGGACGGCTCCTGAAGGATGAGTGGCTGGGTGCCACGTATCATCAAAGTCCATGGAATGTGTCTAGAAAACAACATATTTTAATCATCGTCACAGTAAAACTGAAAGCAGTTAGGATGGTAATTTGTTTGCAGTGGCTCTGTTTGTGCCAGCTCTAAATGGTCCAGTTCACTTCTCCACCCAGGTGTTCCTACACTGACTCTTTTTTCCTCATGTCTTGGCAAGTTTTAAAAAGAGAAAAAACACTTTCATTCCCTCAGCCTTCATAGGAAACTGCAGGATGAGAAATTTAGCTTCTTTGGAAATGGCCTCCCCCTCCCCCCACACAGTCCTTCTGAGCTCTTTTCATTTTTACATCACAAGTAATTTAAAGGGCAGCACGGTGGCGCAACTGGTAGAGCTGCTGCCTCTCAGCGAGCAGGTCCCTGGTTCAAACCCCAGTCCAGGGGCCTTTCTGGGTGGAGTTTGTATGTTCTCTCCGTGCATGCGTGGGTTTTCTCCGGGTACTCCTGTTTCCTCCCACAGACCAAAAACATGCATGTTAGGCTGATTGGTAACTCTAAATTGTCCCTAGGTGTGAGTGAGAGAGTGAATGGTTGTTTGTCTCGTTTGTCTCTATGTGTCCCTGTGAGGGACTTGTGACCCGTCCAGGGTGTACCCCGCCCCTCGCACAGTGATTGCTGGACATGGGCACCGGCGACCCCCGTGACCCAAAAAGGAACAAGCGGGTAAAGAAAATGGATGGATGGAAGTAATTTAAAGACCATGCTGTTGCAGAAACAGCCACTGAGTCGTGTAAAGTCTTTTCCACTTTTTTATTACTCACCGCCACTCCATTGACGAAAGCTGCCAGAGTTGGAGAGAGCCTGATGCCTCTGCGTCCGTACACAGAGCTGATGTGATCAGGAGCGTACATGTACTAAAAGGACATGAAACACATAGTAAAGACTTTTTAATAACCAGAGATCCTTTTCCCCCTTTTCATCTCATATGTCCACAGTCAACATTTGCAAAGACCTCTGTTTATATAAGGTCAGACTTTCAGCTGGCCTTGCATCAGGCACTCATAAAATGTTGTTTTCATCCCCTCTCCTTTCATTTTAATTCACCTGGCAGTGCTGAAGGGCCAGTTCAAACACATCTGTCGTGCTTCCAATGAGTCCGACCCCAATGCTGTCCAGCATCATCCTTTTACTGCGGTGGAGAGCTACAGGAGACATATGCTGAGACTGTATTTCACTGATGAACTTCCCAAAACTGGCTGTGACCGTGTCCTCAGGGGCTGGATGTTTCAGGACTGCAGGAATAAAATGATAAAGCAGATTTTATTATAGTCAGATCATGTAAAAAACTAAACAAATTGTTGGTGTTTTAGACAAAGATGAGCTATCTATTTACCGTCCAGTGCAGATTTATGCAGTCCTCTGACAGCCTGCACAGGTTTAATGGTTTTCTGTGGGACAAACGGATCAGAATATGTTCATTAGTACCTATAAAGACACATCCCAAGTTTGTCTTGGCCTGCTGATTTCCATGGCAGGCGTTTTCTTGGTCAAACTCTAATGATAGTTTCCAAGCCCAGGTTTCTTTTCTCAAAGAGCTATTGTAGGAGAGCTAAAACAGGTGTGGCTCAGCCTCTCAACTTTTAAAAAGAGCTTTCAAAATTCTTCTCTACTCAAGAAAACTGAACAGAAATGTATATAATTTACATTTTTAGCAAAGAAAGACTTAAAAAAACTAAATATTTAATTAGATTGTAATACGTCCAGCCATTTAAGAGTATATTACAATTTATCTCACACTCAAGATTTATTACAGTCCATAAAAGTTAAGGTAGAAGTGTAAAAGTAACCTGTAGCACGGAGAGCATGGTGTCAACCTGATGTTTCTGTCAAAACAACCTTCTTCGATGCAGCAGTTTTACTCTGAAGGATGCTGGTGCTTTTCTGACTGAGAATCCACCTGCCTTATATAGTCCAGGACTCACGGGGGCCACAAATACCTCACTTAAGGGAAAGGGAAGGGCAGGTATGTCTTTGTCAAAATGAAGAATTTCCGTTGAAGTCATTATCTTTGGTGTGACCAGCAGCATCATCAATATGTTGAGGGAGGAGGAGGAAAGTGCACCATTTGTGAAAAGTAGTAAGATGTGATGTCACCTCTCAGTACAGTGATTGAGCTGGAAGAGTGGGGGAATTTTCATCAGCTCCTCCTACACAACACAAAGTCTTATTTATAACAAACTTTCTTCCCTGGCTGGAGCACAACTCAACAGTTCATCAGTCTGAGCAGCTTCCACAGGTAAGACATTTGTCACCCTTTTTTTATTTACTTAGATAAGCAAACATTTTACTTAATGTACTTTGTAACCTGTGCAGAAGTTAAGAACTAATACGTTAATAATGGTGTACTTTTATATCAGACTAATTCTGTACATTATGCGTGACAAGACACTAATGTACAAACAACACTATTTTTCCTACTTATGTATAAAAGCACATAGTTTTATGACAAAATTAAAAAAAAGCTGTTTTAGAGTAAATATCACTGAACAAAAATTTTATATCTGAGAACAAAGGGACTACATGTACTTTGAGAGATCCTAGGACTATGTTGCAGAGATTTGAGCTGGAACTATGAATGAAACAAGTCTCTTTGTGACACACAACAATGCCTCGGTCTCACTCCTGCCTGGGAAGGGCCAGTGAGTTTCATGTGTGTGTGTTTGTGGGTGTGTGTGTTTACACATATGAGACAAAATAATTCCTGCTAACATTTTACAATAAAGTACACAAAATTTGATTAACTAATAGGGGATGCCTCAGGAACGAATCAGGAGCTAATGGGTAGTTAACCAGTACTTACTGGGGAACACGCAGTCAAGCCTTATTAGGAGCTAGACTACTGGTTTGTTACCATAGAAACAGAGGAGAAATTCTCCATGTGGGTTATGAATAAACCCTTCACCAGTGAGGACACAGCTCAGACATAATTAAGATGACAGCAGTACAAAATTATGAAATTGCTAATCAGTGTTAAGAATCTAATAAAATCAGTAACCAATGGGAAACAGGTTTTTGACAATTGCGAACTGTGACCTCACTGGTGCAGGGTTTATTCAGAACCCACATGAAGAATTTCTCCTTTGTTACTGTGGTAACAAACCAGTAGTCCCCTAATAAAGCTTGGCTGTGTGCTCCCCAGTAAGTACTGGTTAACTAACCATTAGCTCCTGATTTGTTCCTGATTCGTTCCTGAGGCATTCCCTAGTAGTTAATCAAATTTTGTGTACCTTATTGTAAAATTTACCATATTCTCTAAAAGCACAACATTATTTTATCTCTAAATAGTTAGAACTTGTAAGACTTGACATGTTTGTCATCTGTCCATTTTTTCATGGAGGGTCACATCATCATCATCATTGTACTGAAACTCTGGCGCAACAATTTCCTGCAGGATCAAATAGTTCTATCTTATCTTATCTTATCTTATCTTATCTTATCTTATCTTATCTTATCTTATCTTATCTTATCTCATCTCATCTCATCTTATCTTACCTTATCTTCACATACAAACACAATGGTGGTGATTGGCAGCTATATAATAATGCTACAAAAATACTTTTTGAAAAGTGTATCCTTCATTGAATCTGAAAGAAAAATGTAAAATATTATGATAATATTTATTGTGTGTTGTCTATATCATTTTTAGGTGCTTCAGTTCAGCTGCAGAATAACTACAAAAGCATCATGGCAGCTTCAGATGGGTTTCCTGCCAGTTTCTATGGAGAACCTGGAGTGTTGGGCTTGTTATCAAATGGGATCAGTGCATTCCTTGTTCTTCTACAGAACTTCAACACAGCTCGTACTGGAAATCAACCAGCTGGAGTGGAAAACATACTGGCAGGTAAAACATGACAGCAATGATAAGGATATATACCTGTAAAACATTTATAAAAATGTCTTACGTTTGTTTTTAATGCTTCTTACAGGTGTTCATCTCATCCTGATTGGTGGAATATGTCAACTGGTGGCTGGATTGCTTTCTTTTCGTAAATACGATCACCTGAGTGGCACTGCCTTCATTGGTTACGCTGCTCTTTGGGGAAGTTACGGTGCTACCAGAATCTACTTTGGTGCCTTATTTAACAATCAAACAACAACATCAGTGTCAGGACATACAGGAAACGATTCAATCACTACCATGATAGGAAACATGTCTCGCAATGAGTCACCTCAGTGCCAGTTATGTCTGTCCATAGATGAGTCAGCTATTGCTGGCCTGGTCCCTTACATCCTCCTGTCATTTCTTCTTGCGTTTTGCTCTGCCACAGTCAACTACATCATGCCTTTTGTTTTTGGAGCCATCACTGCAACATTAATTTTTGAAGCAGCAGCTCTAGTAACAGGCTCCTGGGCTCTGGTGGTCTCAGGGGTTTTGGAGTTGCTCATTTTGCTATTTGCCATCTATGGCTCAGCTGTTCTGCTCATCAAAGGTCTGACTCAGCGTTATGCCCTCAAAGGCTTTGGGACCCCCTTGTTTAATGTTCTCCTGCTCGGGACTCCCAACTCAACAAAAACACAGAGCGCTGGCCAAGAGAAGAAGAAGAACACAAAGTATGCAGAGCCCATGGCCTTAGGTTTCTTCTGTGACTCCATTGCTCCATTCATCTTTGCTTTTTACAGCTTTGGGTACATGAAATCATTTGGTTTAGGAGTTGCGTGGGTTTCAATCATCTCAGTTGCCCAGTTCCTCTCCAGCTACTATGCTCATTTGCGCCAAGATTGCTACCACACTACAAAGTTTGGATTTCATGCCACATATTGGCTGATCAAGGCTTGGGATGAGTTTGTGGCATCTGCTCTATTAGTGGAGCACAATGAAGTTATATCTGGAAGGAAAGAAATGGTGGGAGACTGGTTCTTTATGGTGGCAGGCCTGGTTCTCTGTGTGGGAAGCCTGAACATGGACGTCCTGGAAGTGATCCACAACTTGCTCTTCGTCCTTCTCACGGTCTCAACGATCCCTCAGATCCCCCTGCAGGGTTACTACATCTTCTTTGGTGTAGCCTGTTCTCTCTTCACTGCAGTCTCTGTGTACGGCACCTTCTCACGTCTCATAAACACCATCGCAGAAAAGGTCCTTATACCTGTAGGACCTCAGCCAGTTTCCTCTGAGCAGCTGAAGAATGCACTGAACTGTAGAAGGTCTGAACAAGAAGCACTGCCCCAAACTGACCAGACCTCAGATGCCCTGTTTTACCTTTTAAATGGGGTTGCAGCTCTTTCAGCTCTTCATTCACATGTGTCAAGTGAGAATCCTTCTTTCCTTCATCTGACTGTCCCCTGGGTCCTGATCGCTGGAGCCATTGTCCAGGTCTACGTCAGCAGGCTCCAAGTTACAGGAGGTGGCCGCTTCGGATCAGTTATCTCCTCCTTCTATGTGGTTGTATGGGCAACTTGGACATGGTTTCGATTTGCAGGTACAGTATGCAAGAAGAAATTAATGTTCTGATATGTTTTACTCTGATTTACCAAATGTTCTAATCCCAGTTTATATTTTGTATTCTAGGAATTCAGCTTCAGTTCCCTACTGAGGCAAATTATGGTTTTACTGCAGGGGCCATTGCTTTTCTGGTCATTAATGCCTTTCTTATGTTGATTGGTAAGTTCAGACATATGGTTTTAGATATAGATATCTGTGTTTTGGATAGTTTTAATTTTTAATTTGTATTTTTTTTTTCAGCTGCTTACAGGAACCTGGTTCTTCTGTTTTTAACAACAATCATGGAAGTTGTTCTGGTTTGCTTCCTTCTCTCCACTCTGCAGAGACTGCCATACCAACTTGAAAGTAATTCAAATAACACCTAATGACAAATGATCTTTTTAAGTCTAGAAGTATGTGTTCATTAAACATAAGATGCTTAACATTATGTGTCCATCTTGTGCAGTGGCCATGCTCGCTCTGGTTTCCATCACTTGTTTATATGGAACTTTGGCTTCACTTCTGAACTGCATCTTCTCACAGAGAATGCTACCAATGGGCCCTCCAATCATAAAGGTAACAAATTAAACAATAAAGTTGTTTTTATTTTAAATTTAAACTAATGTGTAGTTTAATAAACTTTTTGTCTAATTATTAATTTATTTTAGGATAAGGTTAAACAGGAAACATCTGAGGAGCCGCCCTGTCCAGTGGCCAGCTCCCGTCTCACCAGTGGTCTCCACAAGATTTCTGGCCTTCTAGAAGAGGGGGGAGTATGTGGTATTCCCACAGATACTGTTTATGCTTTGGCTGCTTCCTGCAAGAATCCCCAGGCGATAGAGAAAATCTATAACATTAAAGTAAGAAAGAAAAATATGGTTTCAGTAAACAAACAAACAAACAAAACACTTAAATGAATCTTTACGTGTATTTTATGTAACAATCATTGTCTTCCTGGGGGGCTGTGGCTGAGTGGTTAGAGCAGTTGTCCTCCAATGCGAGAGTTGGGGGTTCGACTCCACCAGCAGTCACATGCCGAAGTGTCCCTGGGCAAGACAATGAACCCCTCATTGTCTCTGATGTGTGTCCCATTGGTGTACAGAAATAGTAGAGTGCTGTATGAATGGGTAAACGAGGGCACAGATTGTGTTGTAAAGCGCTTTGAGTATCTTGATAAGATACTGTATAAAGGTGGTATAAAGTACAGTCCATTTACCATTTGCCGTTTCTTAAATGTGTTCATCTCCAGGACAGACCAGCAGAGAAGCCTATATGCATTTGCATTTCCAGTGTGGAACAGCTGGTAGCAGCCAAGCCTCCTTTCAGCCCTCTGCTGTGGGAGTTTATGAGGAACGTGTATCCAGGAGGCATCAGCTGCATCGTCAGCAAAGGAGACTGGCT